CGCCCCCATCAGACAAGCGGTCAAAGACAACGAGTGCATCTCGCACCCTATACTATAAGCGCAACCCGCCCAGATCTGGCTGTACTCTGCCAGGCTATCTTGCCCGTTGTGCTTACCGCCACGCCAACCTCGTACCCCTTCACCTCCTCGCTCTTGAAGTTCACCTGACCCAGGAATGGATAGTGGCCGACGGCGGCGACAGGCGCGGTGGAGATGTAAGTACACATCGAGCAAGAAGAGGGAGAGAGGGGTCAACACGAAAATGAAAGATGGATCAGTCACAGCAGTAGAAGAGTGTTAGCCGCCAGGAGTGCGTGTGGCGAAACGTGTGCGTCAGCCGTACAAGATATCCACCTAATGGGAACTCTTAGCCCGTTCGTAGCAACTCCGCTTGGTTCGAAGCGAAGCTCGCCAACTGGCTTGGGGGGGGGAGGGGTATCGAAGTTGAATTATGGCTCCGATCGGGAGAACTACCATTCACGTTGCAAGCACTTACAGTGCGTTGCAAAACACGCTGTTACGAATACACAAGGGAACACCTTACCTGCGGCGATCGAAGCACCGACACCAGGCAACGTCGGAGGAAGGGTGCAGAGCGGAAGGCGGACAGCAGAGGAAGGTCGGTTGTGACAGCAGTGCTGCTTTGTTGGCCCCGCACAACCAGTTGACTCAACCAACCTCCTCTGCTTCTGAGAACTCACCTCGACCTTGTGCGTCTTCAGCGGCTTGGAGAACCCCTTGAAGCCGACCGGATACCGCAGCGCGAAGCTCCCGTCGGGCGACGCGTACTCCTCAAACGCCCCTTCCTTATCTTGCTGCTGCTGCTGCCCATGCTCAGCCCTCGCCGCGGCCGGCGCGCCGACGATCCCTCCAAGCCCCCCCCCAACCCCCGCCAACAACAACCCCGCCATCACGCCTGACGTGCCTTTCAACACACTCGCGCGTGAGAGCGAGACCTCTCCCCTAAAGATTGAATCGTCCTTCGTATTTGTCCTGCGCGCGGCGCGGCCGCGGCCGGCGCCTTCGTTGTTGGCGAGCAGACGTCGTCGACCACGTCGCTGCCGCTGCCCGGTTGCTGGTGGCCGGCGTTGTTGCTGTTCGTCGTAGCGGTGGTCGCCAACGAGGCCGCCAGGCATGCTGCCGGCGCTGCTGCCGGCGCTAGGGCTAACTTCGGCGGCACATCGGGAGGAGACGGAGGAGGTCGACGACGCGAACGAAGAGAATCGGCCTGTTTCGACTGGTGCCCCTGCGCGGCGTGTGGGACGTGGGTACCAAGCAGCGGCGGCAACGTCAGCCGACTCTCACGTTGGGCGTTCTGTCACCGCTTCCCCACCTCACAAGACAAGAGACGTCTTCGACACGGGCGGCTCCATGCTACGGTAGATACAGCAGGTCCTCTTACGGTAGGTCACGACCAACCGTCTCCCCGCATGAAGACGTCGCGCCGAACCTGGTTCCGCATCATACACGGCGGCAGAGCAGGGCCTGCCTACTCTGGGAGGCTAGACTGCACCGTCGTTGGTGTGAGGTCACCTCCAGCTTATGTATGGAGATCAAGCTTAGCGCCAAGTGGGCATTGGCCCACTTGACAACACGTGCACATGTATTGTGCGAAGTTCTGCTACAAGCTACAAGTAACGTAGGATACGTGCAGAGTTGAGCATCAATTCCACAGCATTAACAAACGCAACAACACCGTTACAGCAGGTAGATTGTAGAAGTACACGATGTATGTAACTCGCCGTGTACTGCTGTATGGTGCTCTCCCTGCAACCTTAGTGCTTGTAAGACCGTTGGTCTCCCACAGCCCTCGCAGACGGTGAGGAGACAAGAGCGACGTACGTTGAATTAGTTTTAGCCTTCGTTGCTTGTGCTAACCTCTGCTATGAAAGGTGCACATGAAGACTTACAGCAGTAGATTCTACTGCTGTACTGCTGATCGTGTTGCAGGAAGGCGGGAAGAGCATGTCAATCTAGAGTCCTCGCTGGTGGTACTGCAACTCACTGCTGTCCTACAACTTGCAGTTTACACAATACAGTAGTGGGCCCTATATAGTGCAGGGGTCTGTCGTGAGAAGTTACCTGCATCTGGAAAGCATGCAGACATGCCGATACCCCAAACACGATCGAAGGGGCTGGCTTCTGCAAGGAGGCGGGTACCCGTCTCCAGTAGATAATATTTTATATCATGGTTTTGGGCAAATTTGGCGTACGACCCCGTAAGCTCGATCTCTTCACGACGACGCTCCGATTCAGCATAGTCGAAAGGACGCACACTTCGACCCAAAAACTTGTGTGTGTGTCTTAGGATCTGTTGCAGCCATAATTTTGCCATACGACGTCATATCTCCAAACAAGTTCGCTTTTTCAGACATCATAAATTGCTCACCACATGAATAACGTACCCCCAGTACGTCAAAAGCCGAAGGAGTACATTGCGAGAACACAGGCGGAGGTTTCCAGAACAGAAGGACGTCATCCGAAGCGTACTCGGCACTTGTCATCAAACGGCGGAGCCGGTGAAGGGCGAAGGGGTAAAGAGCGGGCACCAGGCACAGGCGGGGGTGGACCAGGCGGACGGGTCCTCTTCTCCGACGGGGAGGACCCAGAAAGCGAGGCAGGAGCGGGCGAAGTCGCAACGCTCCGTGATCCGGCGGGCGGCCTTAGGGTGGCGGCTCCGGCGGGGTCAATGTTGGCAGAGGCCATTCGGCTTTTGGAGACCCGTTCGTTAGGAGAAGTCATTCCTGCAACAGACGGATGTTTGATCATTGACGCAGGGCGCTCTTGACTACTCCCCCTTGGCAAAGGAGCCGAACCTTCCACAGAATGGTGGGTACTACCATCCGATCCCGATGGCAGTGGTGCAGTCAGCACGTGGTAAGCAGCAGAGCAAGACGCATTCGTATCAGGTGCTGTCACATGGGGGCAGCGGACGGTCGAAGACAACGAAAGCTGCGAAAGAGAAGGAGGATCGACGGGGTTCCCGACGAGTGTAGAAGAAGGCTCGTGTGAGATCCGAGGAGAAGCCCGGCTGACAACACCAAGAGAGTCTTGACGAATAGTAGAAGCCGAGGTTCTTGTTCCTTCTGTAACCCGAGACGACGAGGTGAGCAGGGATGGACCGCTCGACGTCTTACCTTCCTGTCGCCCACACCACAAAGGTACTGCCGAAATGGGTCTGTCATGTCCATTACCAGCAGGCGATGAAGCGGACGACGAGGAGGCGGACCGAAAAACTAGATGTGATTTAGGAGCGTGGGGAGTATCCAAAGAAGTAGACTGTACACGAACATCTTGGGAGACTCGAAAAGGGTGCACGGTGGTTGCTGTTGACGGTAGTACCGGCTGAACTCCGCCATCGGCTTCTCATTTCTTACCCCTCCAGCCCCTTTTTGTCGAAGTGGAAGCGTCCGACGAGTGCTCTGTGTGTGAGGACTGTTTCGTGTCCGATGTGTCAGATGAGCGGCGGGCGCGTCCTAAGGGGTGATTTCGATGTGGGTTGCGCCCTGTAGGGCGTCTATACGAAGTCATGCGCTTTTTCCACCGACCCCAAAAAGTGGGATGTTTTTCCATACAGAGCTTGATGTCATTTTTAAGCACGCCGGTGGCGTCCACGAAACCACGATTACAGGATTTGAAGGAGTGGTCTTCTCCTAAGCAGTTGAGGCACTTGCCCTTGTACAGTCGAAGCACGTTGCGGCGTTTTTCAGCCGAGACCAAGGGGGTGAACAATGGCGGATCATTCTTGGTTAGAGCCATCTCACTAGCGACGTTGTAATCCTCTTGGAAGTGTCCTTGCAACGGCCAGTCACTGTTGTGCAACAGAAAAGGGTCCCGATCATCATTAGGTAGAGGGTCAACACTTGNGTGGTCTTCTCCTAAGCAGTTGAGGCACTTGCCCTTGTACAGTCGAAGCACGTTGCGGCGTTCTTCAGCCGAGACCAAGGGGGTGAACAATGGCGGATCATTCTTGGTTAGAGCCATCTCACTAGCGACGTTGTACACCTCTTGGAAGTGTCCTTGCAACGGCCAGTCGCTGTAGTGCAACAGAAAAGGGTCCCGATCATCATTAGGTAGAGGGTCAACACTCATCACGGCGGCCGAAGAACCTTGGCTCCACGAAGGGGTCACCGTCGAACGCATCGCCGATGAAGCTCCGGCACGCGAAACAGCAGACGAACTCCTAGCATGCGTGGGAGGTACCGAAAAGATATCATCTCCATGCACCGCCGGCGTGTACGCGAACGCACGCTTGTCCAACACATCCCACATATCATCCAGACACGAAGCATGTCGCCCAAAAGGGGCTTCCATGGAGAGCTGCTCATCCTTGTATACCTGCCCAGACACTACCGGAAACTGCTTCAACATGAAGTCTCGAACAGCTATCTGCACTTGCGCATCCGAAGGCTTGAACGCGTGGTGGGAAACCATGACGGTCATGGCCAGAGCCTTATAGCGACGAATGTATTCTCCGTAAGTCTCGCCGTTGGATACGCCAAAACTGCGAAGACGATCAATCCCCGAGCTCTTGTCTTGAGTGTCCCAGGCAGCCGCCAATTTCTGGATGAAAAAGGCGTACGTCGAGGGCCCTGCCGGTTCCTTGCGCAGATGGTTTTCTACCTGTAGGAAGGTGGCATCAAGAAATTCTAGCGTGGCACGGTTGGTGGTTTGGCCTTCAACGACAGCAGCACGGACACGTTTGCGCAACAACGGAAGCCATCCGGTGACCCAGGTGGAGGAATTGAAAGTCTGCTTGCGCTTGACGTCGCTTTTGTTGAGGAACTCTGTGGCCACACCCTTGCAGCTAGACGCGAAAGGAGCAAATTCATCAGGATCAGGACCGAGGGGCAAGCGTGTGACACTATCAAGTTGTTCCGGCTTCAGCTTGTCCATCTTGTCTTGAATACGGATGGTGTCGGCCTCCGTTGTAGCGGCGTCCGCAGCGTCCAGATCCTCCCGCCTCGCTCTCGCTCCTGTGGAAGACAAAGGCAAACCAGCATCGTGCTGTGGCAACGGTGATGCCGCTTGACCCGGTGGCTCGACGATGTGGCCGGTTGCAGAGTTAGGATCAATCAGAACAGACGCACGCTGGAGGGGGGGGGGCGATACCA